TCATTATAAAAGAACTAAAACCCATTAAAAGTGTCAATACACAACATTCACTCTCATTTGTCTCAGAAGGAAACAGAGTACAGGAGAGCTCACAGTGAACAAGATTGACCATAAACTTCCATGCCACAGAGATAAAAATTCTATAGCTGTTATAAAATATCGATGTGCAAGATTCAGAGGAAAATACAGAGGAGTTTTTTCTTTTCAGAAGGATGAGAAAATCAACTTGGTATTCAGTTAAGCTGCATTCCTGGTTCAAATGTCAAGGTAATCTTTTTTGTTACTATGACTTAAGAAATAGCACAGACCACACAGCACACAATGTTGAACTCCTTAGGCAAACACACAGGTTCAGCTCCTCTGTGTATCTACACTCTGCTAAAATGCTGAACGATGCAGCGGTCTTACCCGCAGCATTAACTGAACACTGCATTTCACCGGGTTGTTGCCCCTCAACCTCCGCTGTGAAGGGTGCAATAAAAGTGGTCGCACTGAGAAATAACACTTGCCTGCCTGCACCCACGCCAGACCCATGTGCAGCAGGTCGGCTGCTGGGGAAGAAATTTGTGCTGCAGCGGTCTGAGCCTCTCTGAGAACTGCTTCAATGTGAGGTGGAGGATCATCAGTTTGCCCTTTCCCAGGCAAAAACGATGGTAGCCCAGGATCATGTTAAACTTACTTGACTCTAGCCTGGGGTGAGTGCTGCAGCCTTTCTTCCATGTGGTGACAGGGGCCAGATCCAGCCTCAAAGTGCATATTATGTGTAGGCACCAACCAAGCTATTACTTCGGCAACAGGATAAGATGCAGGGCTCAGGACCCAGTGACAGGTTTTTTAACTGTAGCTCTGTATGATGGAAAGTCATCACAGTGCTTTGCATGGTTGATGTAGATCTTTAAGGGCAGATGAAACCCCTGTCGAGCAAGCCAGCAGTTTTGAAGCAGGAGCAGAGGTTCTGACCAGAGCTGTTACACAGTCCTGGATCTGCGACAGCTGGATGAGAAAAAGCACATTCCTGGAGAGGAAATGGGAGCTTGTTGAGCTTGTTCTGACCTTTCAGGGACATGCAGGTGAGGGGCATGCAGCACTGAGAATTAGATTGCTACTGCTGTCCAAAATCCCAGCTGAACTGCACAGCTGGAAACCTCTGGCGGTGGTACAGAACAATCCATGAGCTCCCAAGGGGAAGTTTTGCTGAGCAATTTTCATTTCTATTCATCCATGAGCAGGAAAGACAATGTATTTCCCAAAACTACTAGCAGGTTTTCTGTGAGGAGGTAGTCCAAACCATAGAGATAATTGTTACCTGTTTCCCCAGTTACATCATACGAAAATATAAGGAGAGATTTGACATTGTACAGGCTGTGATCCAAGGCATCTGGAGATCTGGTGTATTTAAACATGTCTGTGAATTGCTCTTGTGTATAATGACCATGAGATACCAGTCTGTGATGTCCACATGCCAGAGAATAATAAGAATATTTAGTCTGATAAGTTACTGGTGAGACGATTTCCTTCCTGCCATAATCAAACAGGCTAAATATAGTACAGAAAACTACATGTGAATGTGAGTTTCAAATATGCAGACCAGAATAAATAAATAGGTGACTTTTGGTAAAAGAAAAGGTGGCTTGCAGGAAACATGACCTGAAGGAATTTCGAGAAGGCATTGCAGAGCGGGAAGCACTCGACATACCACCTGGTTTATCATATCAGCCACAGATTGGTTAGTGCTCACTCATACTCCTACCTGCGCATGAGTGGTGCCACGCGTCCTTGGTGTTGTGTAGGTGGCTGTGGCCGAGGGCTGAGAGAACAGGACTATTTCAAGTTTGGCAGGGTTTAGGTGTGAAATGAAAGACAACTGCAAATCACTTCTTACCTGAATGCCTTCCTCAGGAAGGGCAGCAGCTAGTTTCGTTGTGTTTTCACATTCGCTATGGCATGAGTGACCCACCTTAGAAAAATTCGGTCTAATGATTATATTGTTTTATGAGATTTGTTCTTGATGTTGACATTTGGATAGATCACAGAATCACAGAATCACAGAATGGTAGGGGTTGGAAGGGACCTCTGTGGGTCATCCAGTCCA